CCCCAAAACCCCAAAACCCCAAAACCCCAAAACCCCAAATAAAGTTAATTCAAATAATATTATTCCTTACCTTTATGAAATCAAAGATCATGTCAAGTAAATGGGTTGGCACCCAAAAGACCAGCTTAAAAGAAAAGGTTGCCGACTACTTTGGGTACAAGCTCAAAGGATCAGTAGTCGGGAAGAACATTGTTGCTCCAGGACTCACTGGAATATCTACCTCTAGATGTGGAATAGGATTGGCCCTCTTCCTTGGACTCAGTGCTAAGAAATATTCGGGGAAAAATGATGAATATTGTAAATCTAGGTTTACTCAATCAAAATTCGAATCTCTCAGTCTAGATACTAATGAAAGTTATGAAGATACAGTTTCAAAAGTAGGCCAAACTGTTCGAAGATCTCAGGCTGATTCAATTGGTGAAGATACCATTGAAGAAAAAGATTATCTAAGCTATTATCTTTCACCTATTTCTAAAATTAACAAAGAGAACTATGGAACTTATACACAAAGATGATCCCCAATCTTTAAGAAGATCAAATACAATCCTCGGATGGTAGACTCAGCAGATTTAAACTCCTTCGACAAGATTATTAAAGGGCAAAATAAATACGGCCTTGGTATGACTATCTTACTCGGACTATTTCCAGTGAGCATGTACTCTAAATCTCTAACAATTTCATCTAAAAATAAAATATTTGCATTTGGTATCATGTGTTTGGTACTAAATATGGCAGTGCTGACTTATTACAATACAAAGTTCAAGAGCTTCCTGGAACATTTGGATAAGAAGTACTTCTATGGTCAGACTCTTGAAGAGCTGCAAGATGACTCCTTTAAAAAGATTAATCAGCCAAAAGCCATCTCCTTTCACACTCATCCTCAACCTCTAGAGGTGAGAATCCAAAAATTGAAGGCCTGGAAGATGCTCAACAGAGTTGACTAGCTCTCTCCATTCAAAAGCATTCTTATGCATTACTTAATTTCTTTACAATCATTTTTAACGTTTCTAGGGAAACAAAGAAGTGAGACTTCTTCTTTTCTTTAAAGGTCTCTTACTTTATTCTTTTCTAAACATCTGTACTTTCTTTCTGTTACTCCTTAAATTAAACTACTTCACGGAATCAGAAATCATGAATTTTGTACAAATAACTCAACTATCAAAAGTATGGTTACATTAACCGTATTAAAGGCAATCTTAATATAAAAATATTATGATTGGCTTACCCTATAGCCTCACCAATAAGCAATAAGATTTTGGATAAATAAAATTATATCACCAACTTTTGTCATGAAATCAGGGGTTTTGGGGTTTTGGGGTTTTGGGGTTTTGGGGTTTTGGGG